ATTATTGCTCATTCTATATTTTTATTGTGCTGACGTATTTAGTCATGCTTATGAGACTCTCTGCAACAGAAAAAACGCCAAAAAGAAGCATTTAAGAGTAACTTTAAACAACTTTAAACTCTGCACTTTACGATCAATTTAAAGTTAAAGTGCCACCCCTACTTTGGCTGGACCATTTCTTTGTTGTCGAAGTTTTCGCTTGAATTTTTTTGTAAGTTGGTAGAATTCTACAATTTTGATTATATTATAAAAAGAAGTCCGGTATTCATTCCATATATTATACTCTTAAAAAATAATTTACGNCTAACCCTAATTTTTCTTCATCTGTAGGCGAACAACTGATTGTAATATTGTTGGCACCTCTAGATATCAATGATAAACATACATTTTATTGCAAATGAAGACGGTAAGAAATCGATAAAACAATTGCCAGACAATTTTACTTGCCAAGATTTTATTAAAATTATAATTGATTTATTCGGATCTCATGCAACTGAACATTATACTTTTGTTGCAAAAGGAAAAGCATTAAACTTAGCAGATGAAGTGCAATTTGGCGTATGGAAAAAAAATCTCACTAATGGAGTGAATATTTTTGTTGGACGACGAATGCATGGAGGTGAAATAATAAATGTTTGAAAAACTATTTATGCATCTGCCTAGAATAAAATTACCATTGACAAAAGTTGTTTTTTCGTCTCTTAATTCATTTTTTAGATTATTTCATTTCTTATGGTGAATATAACTTTCACTCCTTTGAACAGTAGCAAAAGTTATTCAGTTGAATTAAATGACAATTTTACATTAACAGATATAAGAAATGCTGTGCCTGAATTAGGTGATCTTATTCAGTTTCGATTATTAATTGATGATGATCAATTATGTTTGGAAAAAGAATCTATTTTTAATCGTCAGAAACCGTTAATTTTACAAAATCCGCGAATAACTCTTTTACGACGTGCACCAGGTGGAACCTTTATTGAAATTTCACTTCTCAAACAGATCTTACTTGAAGACCTTAAAGAAGAATTTAAGAAATTAGATTTAACAACAAGTGAATGTTATTTTTGTAAGTGTCCAGAATTGTGTGCTACAATTCATCATACTAATATTTGCGTTGATTGCTTTCCTAATTATTTACATGATACAAATTTTCAATTGCGTTGCATGCGTGAAGTCTCACCATTCCATAGGTATTCAATGATATTTAGAGGTGCCAACAATATTACAATCAGTTGTTCGCCTACAGATGAAGAAAAATTAGGGTTAGATTTTCAAGATATTGTCTTATCTAATCGTAGATCAGATAAAAATCTTTGTACTCGTATTATTGATTATCAAACTTTTTTTAAAAGTTCACAATTTATTGATAAATGGTCGATATTGTGTGAAATAACTGATCTTATCAAAAATATTGACTGCCAAATATGCTATTGTGGTGCACTTCTTTTTAATATGACCATGTTTGCTAAACAACAGTGTACAAGTTGTCAACGTTGGCTTTGTTTTTTTTGTAATCGCAATTGGAATGATCAATGTATGAAAAACGGAAGATTTACGTGCACAGATGATGATTGTGAATACCAAAGACGTCTTAGTTTTGATCTTGTTCCATTACAACGAAATAAAGCATTAATGGTACCTGATCGTAGATGTTGTCCGAATTGTTTTATTGTTGGTGGTTATGGGATACAATGTAAATATCATGGATGTCCTCATTGTAAACATCAATTTTGCTTTATTTGTCTTGAAACAGAAGAAGATTGTAAACGAATTTATAAAGTTGATTGTGATCATCAATGCGCACCAATCAAAAAGCAAAATTATTCAATGTTTCCATGCATAAATGAAGAAACTGAACCAACACCGTTTGATTTATTGGGACGATCACTAAATTTTGATAATTAAAGCCAACAATTACACAAACATGTAGTTTTTCATACAATGGCTTCATGACAACGAAACTTTTGTAATTCCTTTTTTCCTCGTCTTTTTAGTGTCACTGCTGGGTTTGTCCCTTTTCGTCCCCCTCTTTCGAACATCCGGTATTTTCAAAAAAAACGATGTCTGTAAAAAAAGCTGTTAGCGCAATCCCTACGGGATTAAAAAGTGAAACACGATAAAGCTCGCTTTCTGGAATCCGTCTACCACGGTTTTTGATGGTCTGTGGAGCTTCTCTGTCACGGTCTGCATCTGTATTATGGTGTATGGAGTCTCTAGAGACCATCGCAGACCGTTGTACAGACTTAAAAAGCCATCACAGACCGTGACAGAGACCACACCCACCCTCAAGACAGTTACAGAGCCTTCAAAAACCATTACAGATC